GAGACTGTATATACTTAATATACCTAATAGAAAGTTAAATTAATTTAAAGTAAATAAGTCTATTTTTAAAATATTTTGTAATTCATTTGTGGAAAGTGTCTTAACTTTTTCTTTTATATGTTGGTATTATAACTTAAACCTTGTTGGCTGTGGAAAGAACGTCACGCTTCAGCGTATCACAGCCTATCTTTGCAGTTATGCCCTTTTGCCTTGGGAATTTACTGAAAATTGTGTAGTTATGCCCTTTTGCCATGCCCCTATCTAGTCCGGGGGACACTTCTTTACATTTTGTTTTTGTGTCAACATGTGTAACATGACGTTCTGACCCCACTAGGCTATATAACTCATTTTCGCCAAAAATGTCAGTTATGCCCTTTTGCCATGGGAGGGGGGGGGGCAGAATTATAGCAAGCAGTTTTCCAACAATGGCCTGTCCAGTTGTGCCTGCAGTGTTAAATTCTGCGGCCAAGTTCAAACAAGCACTAAATTGGTATAGATCAGACATTTTGTCCCATCCATCTGTATACTCGTCACTATTTTTAGCTGATTGAGTGGCCAGAAAATCATCCTCAATGATCACTCTCTCAATTCCTGACCTCTATGGAGCAAGAAGAAATTCTTGAACCTCTCGCATAATATCATCCTTTGTGTCTGCAACCATGGTTGATATTGAGCTCACTAACTCCTGCTTCAACGCTGTGGTCTCATTATTTAGGCGTCTTTTGCAGTTTATTCATAGTCCTATTAATATCAAAGGAAATACCAAAATGAAAAATGCTATGCCTACGAAGCTGTTTAAGGGACATGATGAATTTTTATTTTATTTTCCTAACCCGTACGTACGCCTTATGTAACCCGTACGTACGCCTTACTAAGGCGTACGTACGCCTTATTAAGGCGTACGTACGCTTTATTAAGGCCAATCAGAAGACGACTAACAATGAAGTTTGGCTTAGCTGCAAGGCCCTCAGCCAATCACAAACTACCTTCCATTCCGTTTGTCCAATGTAAGTAGTAAGCAACACACGTCCACTTGCAAGTATGGCGTTGGACAGAAGTTTATCAAATGATAAATCTGAGCCGGTTTCAGGCATATTTTTGTGATACATGTTGTGAGAACATAGAGTATGGTTGTGTCATTAAGCATAAACAGCTTAAAGAAATTTAAGGATGTGCAACTCTGTGGAAAACAACTAATACGAGTCCTCGGTAAGGCCTATGGCTATGACGTTTCCGTCGAAACTGATGAATAGCGCACATATAGGCCTATATGAAGAGGCTCTCGGGGATAGTGGTGCAAGTAGTAGTAGTCAAAATTGCACCGAATCTGTTTAAAGGTACGTGTGTTGTTACATATAACGTTAAAAATGGTATGGTATGTTTTACTTCATTGAGAAGCACTAAGCGTCTCTCTATCACACACCACACACACACACACACACACACACACACAGACAGACAGACAGGAAGGCCAGTGCCTTTTTTCTCAAACTGGGGTACTATCGACAGCAAAATAACCACAGTATTGTGAATCAAATATGATGATGTTATATTGTAGTAAACATAATAAGACAATAATTTTGGCAATGAATTGACCCTGCATAAACAACTGATAAATGAAGACAACTCAAGGATAGCCATGCACAATTATATAGCAACTATTTACTACTATCTACCAAGAACAGTGGTTTACTACACAAAATGAATCAATTCAGTTTTTTGGGGGTAGGGGATGTGCCCTTCAGTGACTGTGCTTAGACTAATTAATTCAGGCATAATTTGATTTTAATGTCTTCATGAAAGAATATAACAAAATTATTATATTAATACTAGTACAGTATGCTTTATCTACATACGAATCCTTCACATCATCATATTAATAGGTATCAAAACTGACTTAAGCAATTAATATTTATCAACACTTAGATGTCCAATTAAATGCACCACCTGCATTTAATATTGTATTATACTGATACTACTTGTTACTATTTTTGTTTTGTTTTGGAAAACAACATTTGTTTAAAAGGAAACAATTAAAATACACATTTGATCATAAAATAATCACAGTGACCTCTCTTTTGAATTAGTTTGTTTAATTAATTTTCACAGACCTCAGACTCAAGTGAATGGAAGTTGATGAACCACAGCCAAAGCAAAGTTTGCTTCATTATGCATCAGCTGAAACCAATAATTAAGAAGTGCTTCCTGGTCGAGGTCATGTTCTCCCATGTAACAATAATATATTAAGTACTTTTAATAGAGAATTAACCATTAAGAAATTAGTAAGTTGCGAAACATTGAGTGGTGGAATTATTTGAGACTGCTATTGCAAATCAGGATGAAGCCTTGTTACTACATGAGGGATATAAGTATCTGGTGGCAATTCAGGCCATATTATAGGCATGAATCAATTGAAAGTACTGTAGCCTTATCTGATTGGAACTGTATACTGTTTGATGAATGTTGTTATCTATTTGATATAACATTATACCATACACTGTGTTGAGAAATATTACCATATATTTTTTAATTTTTCCTTGTATGAACAGTTATCAACAACACATTTATTTTCTTGATAAAGCATTGCATTGACTTTTTGAATGGCATTGTATGGTATTTTACAATGCAATATGAAAAGAAGAAAATAACGGAACAGCACTTGCTGATAAATGATATTGAATACAGCAGAACTGTCATTATTTGTAGTTTCTTTTAAACTGTTTATACTGGATGGCTACATTGAAAATATTATATAATTGTAGTATTTAACACATGTTCATAAGTGGATTGGATTGAACTCTATATTTAGCTATAGTGTGCTACAGTGTTTCAATAATATTCACATAAAAGTATTCAGACTTTTGTCATAAACCTCTTCCAATCTTCGTGGTTACTGTTGTGTATTTAAATTTATATACCTAGTGAATGATCAGAGAGATAATGAAAGTGCTGATGGGATGCAACTGGCTGAACTGACCTATATTAATCAATTACTTTTATTCATTCATTCAGTCCATATTATCAAGGTCTTCGTGCAGCTAAACAAAATTGAACTGGCATGGCAAGAAATACTGATCATTGCATGCAAAAAAAAACATTTGAAATTTTACATCGGCCTCAATGTGTTCAGTATTTTTTGAAGTAATTCAGTCTCAGTTTTCTTTTAAATTTTTTAATGTATTAAAAAACAAAACAAAACGGAAAAAAAATAGAATCGAAATATTATATTATATATTTCTGTCTTTCATTCAAAGTCGATAAACATACATCTTGCCCTTCCTACTATGCATACATGTAGGCCTAGGTAAATAACACAATACACATTCAGTAAAGCACGGTCGCATTTGGATTACAAAAAAACTACGGTATGATAGTCGAGGGAAGACGGGAAATGCGATTTACTACCTCTACAATCTTACTACTACAGTATTACTAATGTATTTTATTTAAAGGCTGCTATATTTATATCATATTGAAATATTCCATTAAAACCGAAGAACTTTCGTCCAAATTGCTACAAATTGTCACTTTCCTCGCGACATTGTTTATATTAGTTACCGAGTTTACAAGAACGCTTGTGATTGGCTAATAGCGTCACATCAATGCTTAACAGG